CTATTGTGCTCTTTTTACAAGTATAAGTTTGATTCACTTGAATTCGTACTAAGAGCCACTTTACATAAGGACCTAAACCAACCACGTATGTGACCGCGCCATAGCTCAAGCGGTTATTCGCTGGCCTCCCACCTCGGCGGCCCGGGTTCGAGCCCGAGTCTGCTCAAGTGGTGGACAAAGTGGCGCTGGGCAGGTTTTCTCCGAGTACTTCGGATTCCCCTGGCAGTCTTCATTCCACCAAATTCTCCATCAACATAATCACCAGGGCCAGGTACACTAGACCATTCAGTGGCCGACGTGCCGAGTGGACCCAGCTCAGTAGTGGGTCTGGAACGGGGTCCATTCAGTCTCGTGAGGATAATTGAGGAACTGTTTCAAGGAAGTAGCGGCTCCGGTCTAGAAAACCGAGATTAACGGGCGTAGGGATCTGTTGCGCTGACCACGCGACACCCTCTATCCGCTAAATTTGGCACTAACTTCGCCGACAAGCGGCGGTCGCTCGGTCGGTATAGTTCCCTTGCGGACTAGTGGCCACGGAGTTTGTTGCTTTTTGTTGACCTTCAAGTATACTTACTCATATTTAAGTATTGCTTGTTTAACGACCCTGGCAGTAGTTCAGAATGTATGGCGTCGAATGGCAGGATGTGTAAGAGAGAGGTCTTCGCCTGTTTCAAGCCAGTGTCCCGACATTTGCATTGAGAGATTGAGGAAAATCTCTTTCAACATCAGTAACGATAGTGGATGTTACGGCCGAGAGTTTAACAAGCATTACCGATCCAGGCAACATGAGCATTAATCAGACATAATTTGTAACCACCGTCCCTTCCGAAATGGTTCCACTCCTTTAGAATTAACCGCAGCTTCTGTGAAGATGCATACAGAACCTACTCGAAAGAAAATAACCTGCTCCTTTTGGATTTCTAACTATTCTTTCCTCGGTGAAGACGTAGCGTATTGCTGGCAGCCAAGTTTTTGTTATCACTGTTGTTAATTGTCCGTGTTCCGCTAATCAGAGGACACTTGAGGGTCAGTGTCGCCCCTCTTCCAGGCCCAGGTCATTAGGAAGAAGTCTGGTTCTTATGAGGTGCTTTCCTGCACTCTAGACTACACATAGAGTATAAAGACGAAATAAAGCGCTTAATCTCCTCCTCCTCTCTCTGATAGTATTCTTCTTTTGCCCCTTTTCCACGTCTTTATCATCTCCGCTTTCTTATTATCCTAGGTCTGTAGCAACACTGCTTAATGAAATTCCATTCCCAAAACCTTCGAACAAGCTAAGAATATAATCCGTCAGTCATGTTGAGACAAGAGTGGAGCTAAATCCAGAAACACTAAAACCCTCATATAGCGGAATCACGAGGGACCTGATTATTTCTTCGTTTCGTGCACTTATCCGCTTATTACATGTGGTCCCTGCGTCTGGGTTCAAAACTTACGCAGTACATACCCTGCGTAAAGGCAGCATTGCATGTGGTCCCTGCGTCTGGGTTCAAAACTTACGCAGTACATACCCTGCGTAAAGGCAGCATTGCATGTGGTCCCTGCGTCTGGGTTCAAAACTTACGCAGTACATACCCTGTGCAGAGGCAGCATTGCATGTTAAATTCATGCTGCGTATAGGGTTTTGTTTTCTTTTCTTTTCCTTTGTTTGTTTGTTTGTTTGTTTGTTTGTTTGTTTGTTTGTTTGCTTGCTTGTTTGCTTGTTTCTCTCTCTCTCTATCTTTGTCCAACGGTCTGTTAAACTATACAGCACATACTTTGTTATCTGTCGGGCTCAATTCATACCGTTTGTAACAGGAATTTTAATTTTATAATAAATTTTAGGAAGCACAGGAAAGCAAAAACTTGTATGCGCAGAGAACGCTACGAGTAAACACTGAAGCTGCTTACCTTCCTTAGATTCTTTCCCCCCCCCGTTCCTGCTTCCGCATTAAACACTTTTCGTCCGGTAGGGATAACATTTACAGTGGACAGTTTTAACTTCGCCGATCCCAGTGGCCGCGCGGTTAAGGCATGAACTGTCTTCGCATGCTCAAACACTGGGGTCGTGGGTTCGAATTCCACTTGAGGCATGGATGTCTGTGTATGTTTATTCTTGTTTGTGTTGTTCTGTGTGTAGGTAGCGGCCTTGCGACGGGCTGATCCCCCGTCCAAGAAGTTCTACCTACTATGTAAAAAGATAAAAAAACTGAAAAGCAGACAAGGCCCAACAGAGGGCTGTACAGCCATATATATTTTTAACTTTAGTTTATAGGGACCAGAGGAATGTCCCAAATGCGACAGCTTTCCGTTTAACCCACCTTACGTTTCCTACAAATTAAATGTAAGCACACTTGACAATGGACGGTGTCCAACATGCTTTCCGTGCGATCAAGCAACCGTTAGAGAGTTAGAAAATAAATGGGTTCACTGAGTGCCGCAGTGCTGTCAGACTTTGCTGAGTTACCGCTTTTGTGTTTTCAGCGAGGTGTTAATGCAGGTCACACAACGGATGAAAGTGGTGAAGAGCATTTGGGGCGTTCCAAACGTTTAAATAATTAGGTGTAAATCTTCGTGTGTCCTCGGCACTTGGATTGTCTCGTTGCATGCGCACTGTGTCAGCGTGGAGGGAAAGTCAGGATGAGAAGGCAGTTAGCTGGATTGAGTGAAACTGATTCTGCCGCTTTGGGGGGCGGATGCCTGCTACTGACGTAGCCCGAGGTTGTAAAAAACCGGATAAAGGAATCAAAACAAAAAATTCTCACCGCATACGTAAAGTTTTAAGGCACGAAACACATGATTCGGTTACTGAAATAGTTTTCAGTCGTACATACCAATTTACCAGAAAATTTCTCTAACATTTTAGTTCGTCTGACGAAGGAACCTCAAGCTTTTATAAAACACGAAATTTATTTCTAGCATTTACAAATGACTGTCATCAAACCCTTACTGAACTGCAGTTTCTACCTTCATACATTGATTCACTCAGATCCATTTTAATAGCATACTCCCGTTCATGCCTATGTAGTTCTCAGATGATGTACATTCTATCGATGTTCTCCGGCAAGATTCTATATAATGTATCATTTCCCCGTGCGTGTAACATTTGATTCCCATCGCATCATCGTAAAAATGTCAGGAAAAGGATACACACTGCGAAGCTCCCCATTGTGTGCAAGGGCGATTCCGAAAGCAACTTCTGGTGAGTCGTTAACAAAACAAGCGATGATATATAAAAAAAATACGTACGTACTTAAACTGCTTCTCAACGCACTCACCGCCGAAATTAAGACACTTGTCATATCGGGGAATAAGTTTTTGTATGCCTGTGTCAAAGAAGTCGGTCGCCTGTGATCTCAGCCACGTTTTGATACCTTCCACCAACTCCTCATTATTGCTGAAGCGCCGTGATCCCAGCCGGTTCTTTGGGTAGGTAAAGAGGTGATAGTCGCTTGGAGCAAGATCAGGGCTGTAAGGAGGGTGGTCAAACAACTCCCAGCTGAAATGCTCCAGCAGTTATGGAGTGCGAGTGGCTGTATGCGGACGCGCGTTATCCTGGAGGAGCACTACACTGGATTTCAGCATTCCACGCCTGTTCTGAATGGCCTTACGCAGTTTCTTTAGTGTTTCAAAATACACTTCTGACGTTATTGTGTTCCTCGTTGCATGAATTCTACCACCAGCAATCATTTTCTGTCCCAGAAAACAGTTGCCATCAACTTTCTGGCAGAAATTTGTTTAAAGTTTTTCGGCTTGTTTGGTCGATATATATGCATCCACTGCTTTTACTGCTCTTTGGTTTCGGCATTCACAAATGAAACCCAATTTTAATCACATGTTATGCGTATGATGTGATTAGAAATTCTTCACTATCTTTGTGGTATCGCTCGAAAAACGTCAAAGCCAGTCATTCTCTGTTTTGTGCCCACTCGTGAGAATTTTTGGAACCCGTCTTGCGCAAAACTTGCGAGAGCCTAGCCTAACTGTGAAAATCTCATAGAAATTTGTGGAAATTCACACTGAAGTTCTGAAATTGTGAAGCGCCGTCTCTCACAAATTTTTTGATCAACGCTCTGAAGATCATCACTCGCTACAAATGGCCGACCGCTTCGCTCTTCATCGTGAACATTTGTTCGCCCATCTTTGAGCATTCTATACCGTTGCCTTACAGTTCCTTCAGCCATTACATATTTGCCGTAAACTGAGCATAATTCACAATTAATTTCCGCAGCACCCATGTTTCTAGCGTGAAGAAAGCGGATAACAGCGCTAACTTCGCAGCTGGCTGGATTATCAATTGCGGGACACGTCGTAACTCCCTCTGTAGAGACAAGAACAAACACTAGGTGACCAGTTATCTGATGGTTTACAAGGCCGTGAGTCATGTGCCGCTACTTCGCATGCGCGAGCTCTCCCTCGCTTCACATTAGTTGCCTAAAATAAACGGAGGTTACTTTCCGAATAACCCTCGTGCTTTTCTGTAATCCTTAGTGCATCTCCCTGTAGGCTCAAATGTTCTCAGTTATCCCGGGAGAGTCACTTGAAGGATTCTCTCGTGGTTGCTGGACGATATTTTAACATGAATCGCGTGAATGAATATCACAGAACAGCTCCGTTTCCTAGCTGCGGATCTTTTCTTCGAGTTTTAACCGGATCATTCTTGACTGAACACATGAAAGCAAAAAGACGCGTGAGTTTAGATCTGCATGCAGGCTGTGTGGTCATCTTCCCTTTCCTTGAGTCATTTTGATTTGAATTTGCGCGTTTGAAAGGCAGCAACTGACTAGCCAGTGGGTTTGACATCGTTGGAGGAGACTTTTATGCAGCACGTAATTGTCTAGGGAATGGCTCCCTCTCCCTCTCGTTCTCTTTATCACAGTTAAACATGTCCCCTACTTTTTTTTGACACTTTTTACATTCGTCGGATGGATGCTTCGGGCTAGGGTTTGCCGATAGCAGCCGAGTGTTGCCGAAGTCCACCGGCGAAGTGAGTCAGTGGGCCAGTCTGTTTGGTGCGCTAGTCGGCTCCTGGAAGCGTTGGGATGTAGTCGTAAGGTATTATAACTTCCACATTCACCTGTGACATGAATTTATTGATGACTGAAAAGCGTGTGCATTTAACTAACGTGTGAATATCGTGTGTCCGTGCGACTTGTGAGTGCGTGTGAATAAAGGTGACACCTTTTCCTGTAACTTTGAAATTGAAGTTTTGGGGTGTGATTTTGACTATGAATACGTGTAAAGTGTATTAACGAAATGCTGGAAGTTGACACGATGGAAACGGACAGCAGTTGCGTGCCCCTGGATTTGAGCGTGAGCTCCGCGGCGCGGGGCAAGTGTTCGTCACCACCCGCGCTGAGCCCTTGTCGCGACTACTGTACGGATTCGGAGGATTCGGACGGACAGTCGGGCCGCATGTCACCAGGTAGCAAGAACTGCAAGGCTTACAAGAAGTCCCTCATGAGGCGCTACCGTGAGTACCCTTTCTGCATGAAGCGAAATTCAGAACTGTTATCAGTATTTCTCTAACATTTCCATTGAGCATTTGTTGTATCTAGAAGGCAAGTTATGAATTACGAAATTCCGGTTGTAGGATTGTACAGCGTTTCGGAACAAGACAGTTGTTCAATTGCTTTTTTAAAATCCGTTATTATGCAAGGTTTTATCCTGTAAATGTGCGATGCGTGACTTATGATATTGCCTGTACTTTCCCTTTCCATTTGGTTGCCCACTGAAACGAAATGGCGGAGTTGCGAAATGCTCTGTGTGCAATTGAGATGGTACCGAGTTTGACCTGAACTTGAGCTGAATCGCGCTGCTGTTTGTGGAGGGAGCGCGATGGAGAGGGGGCGGGAAATGGGTGACCTGGTTTCTGTTGCTTCAGAGTGACAGAGAAAGTGAGCAGCGCCTGGGGTGCTGGAAGCAGGTAGAGCTGACAGGTAGGGTCCCAGTCAGGTAGTCTGGGACGGAAATAAGGGATGTTTAGGTTGTCGGTCTTGTCCCTGACCTATAAACATCCAAACAAAGAATACAAGGTTCTTTTGTTTCCTCCATGAAGGAGCAAGTGTTCACTTTCATTTTTATGGTGGGTTAGAAACTCGTAACATTTCCCTTTATTTTGTAATTGTCAATATTTATGGCCATTTCCGGGTATGAAATCATAAATCACTGAATTTTGGTGACCCAAATTTTAACTTCCGTTTCCAGAATATAAATAAACGGAAGGAGGAAAATGAGATTACTGTTTTGTCGTGGTTTCGGTCTCTCAGCGATCTCTCTAACTGGGTGAGGGTTAACATTCACTACCAGCAGCATTGAAAGTTTAGGGCAGCGTCTCTGTTCTCATTTTTTGGGAAATTGAAGATCAGAATTGGGCGGGGCATGTAACACAGATGGCGTGTGAGAAACACGTACAGTCCTAAAGTTTTGGTCGGGAAACCAGAAGGGAGAAAACCACTTGGGAGACGAAGGCGTGCGCTGGAAATTAATGAATTATTAAGACGTCTTAAAGGAAGGATGGGAGGGAATAAATTGGATTCATTTGGGTCAGGATAGAGTTCATTGTCGGGTTCTTGGGAACATCGGTGTGACTAGCTAAGTGACTGTCAGCTTCTCAAGAAGGATTCTGTCCCATGGAGATGGGAACATGAGGCTGATCTGTAAAAGTTAAGAACGCAGAAGCAAGTACTAACGAAAGCCATTTATTTTTACAAACTCCAGACTAAATGCATTTTGACGAAGAGCAAGGAAGAGCCGAGCGCTGGCCCGAGTTTCCAGTTTGAATTTACGGACCCCTTGAGTTGTATAACGAGAAGATTGTGCCGAGCGGTTCGAGTGGGACGGTTAATATCCGGCGACCCCCCCCCCCGCACTCCTCCCCTCCCGCGGCCATTAGACGGTTTCCTGAGGTGTTACGTTAGCGGCCCACCGTGAAGTTGTGAACTGAACTTGTTGCTGACCCTGACGCACCTTGCAGGGTCACGTGATGCACTGGCTGAAAATAGTTGAGGGCAGCGTCCCGTCGCATCGATTCTGGCCTTGAGATTCCGCGAAGCGCGCAGACGCGATTTCATATGGTAATGGAAATTGATTTTAACTCTGTGCTGCCTCCATGAACATTATTTTACTTGTGCAGAAATTCGTGTGTCATTTTAAATGCATAAGTGTGGGTGGTGGGGGGTGTTCGGCCCCCGTGTCATCACTGCCGTAAAGTGAACAAGGATGGTGCGTCTTGCCCCGAGCCTTTAGTAGCAGAAAGAGGAAAATTAATGAGAAAGTAGCTTTTAGTTGTATGGACGCTTATCTTGTACTTGAAACCGGTTGAATCGGTAGGCGAAATTTTGTGGCTGTCATCACCATCGTCCTCCACATCGTCGTCATGACAACCGTCTTTATTGTTAAATCGATTGTTTTGGAATTAATCGACGTCCGAGTTTATTGAAACCACTGCATTTCGGACGTTAGTTCTTTTCTCAGTATGGTATGAACAGAATGGGAAGAAGACAACCTGCCTGCGCCCCTCTGTAGAGCTGCTCTCAAACTGTGGACCGTGGTTCATGGCTTGGGAGCAACTTTACAGAGGGGCCTCAATAGGATACGTGTTCTTTCTCGTTATGTTCACCTGAAGACGGAAAGAGAAGCTATTTCCGAAACGCAGTGTTTTTAATAAATTCGGACGATGGACAAGAGCCTAAAAAATATTAGTTTTGGGGATTGTGGCACACCATCCTCGGAAAACTTTAAACGTAGGTAGTTGTCATTCTGTTCCTGAAGCTCAGGAATGTTTGTGTAACTAACTAAAACTAACTTCGTGGAGCTGAGCCCTTCTTGAGAAGCAGTCAGTTGTGCAGCTACTCAAGAACTCCCCAGCATTTTATGGAACCCGAAGGTTCATTACCGTGCTCACAAGAGCCCTCCACTGGTCCCTATCCTGAGCCAGATCGATCCAGTCCATGCCACGTCATCCTGCCTCTCTAAGATCCCTTTTAATGTTGTCTACTCACCTACGTCTTGGTCTTCCTAGTGAACTTTTGCCTTCCGGCTTTCTCACCAATGTCCTATATGCATTCCACTTCTCCCTCATTCGTGCTACATGCCTTCTCATCCTCCTTGACTTGATCAATCTAATTATACTTGGAGAAGAGTACAAGATATGAAGCTCCTCATTATGCAGTTTTCTCAAACCTCCTGTCACTTCATCCCTCATCGGTAGGAATGTTTGTGTACATTTCCTTAATTGCTTGCTACTTGAGCTGCCCCCCCTCCCCGTGATTAATTTTAGGCAGAAGAACCTTCGGTTCTGTTGTTTAATGCAGCTGTAATGAAAATGTTTTTATGGACACGAAGTAGGCAAGAATTGGGCCGCTACAGAAAGAACTTACAGCTCGATCAACCTGAAAGACCAAAAATCGACATATTTGGATTTAAAACTGAGACTTAAGCTCTTCATCAGAGTAGGAGATTTAAATATTAACTCTTTATTTTCAGTTTCTGAGTAGAACTGAGTCTGGGTGCCCCGAATGCTGATGGAACTTCAAATTAGTCAGGGGGTTCCCAGACCATTTTTGTTGGGCCAGGACATCCCACTGCGTGGATTTTCTTTTGTGGGCCACTGGCATATTAAACGGAATATTTCAATATTTTTTTTGTGATGGGATCAGAGTGAAATTTAGTAAACAGTCACACCCTCCCATGGAATTTAAAATGAGAATAATATAAATATTTTTGCCTTGCGGGGCACGTGATTTTTTTGTGCACAAGTAAAAATATTTTCTCGTTAGACCCCACGTTACAGCATTCTGTATGGACATGCATTAGACCGCTGTACTGAACATTTGAACAGACGGAACGGAGGTGTTTACTGCTCGTCACAGATTCGTTTTGCTTTAGCACGATAAACCTTAATAAATGAGTAATTCACACAATGTTAGGAGCCATAATTTCGCCTTCTAATCCTAGAATGTGTGATGGCTTAATTTCGTATACTTCCTGTTACCTCACTATTTTAGGACGCGGCATACTTGCTGAAATAAGCCTTCAGAAACTATGAACATACCTGCTTTGGCGTAGAAATGAAAATACCCACGTACAGATGTATAGTTTCATGTCGTCAGTCCCCGTTTTCCGCTGAACTGACACTTAGGCCCATAACTAAGACAAACATCTGAACATACCGTAATCCTTTCGCACCCACGATGTTTAGATGAGGTAAATTCTTGTGGACGTGAACAGAAGTCTTGGCAGTTCTGGAGGCGATGTGAAACAGTTGGCCTAACTTGCTTTTATTGTCTTAAAGTAATTTTACTTCATTTTCTTGTCTTCTCACCTTAGTCCTCTTCGTGTTCTTTTTTCGTATTTTCTTCCTCTAGTCTTGCACTATCTACTTCATCTTTTTCCTCTTATATTTTTATTTTTTCATTCTGTTTTCCTCATTCTCCTTCTTCATCTACTTCATCTTTTTTCTGCACTATTTTTGTTTTTAATTCTCCGTACTTTTTCATCCTCGTATACTCTTTCTCGTTCTTCTTCCCCAGTGATCCAGTGCGCATTTGGTGACAGGCCTAACTGAAATCACCTCGTCACTGGGCCACCGTGCCTCCCTTGTCCGGCAAAAGTACGTGGTAGAGTCAGTAAACAGGCCACAGATGGATATAAAACGTAAAACATGTGATATTCGAACCTGGGGAAAACATTCATTTCTCGACATATACTCCACCAACACTGATACACTTGTCCCATCGCTTTACCAGTGTATCGAAACCCGCAGCATAGAATCTTTTGACTGTTGTCTCAGCCACTTCCTCGTCTCCGTTTCAGCATCTTCGTTATCAGCGAAACGTTTGCCACGTTTCTTGACCCAGTTGTGAGCCACCTTACGCAACAAACACTTCCCACCATAAACAGGAAACACCTCTTTATGCATGTCCTTTGCAGTGAGTTCTTTTGCCCATAAAATAGGCACAACAGAGCCTGTTTTTCGGTGGTACACCCCTCAAGCACGGTCGCCATTTTGACTACTGAAACCAGCCTCTGAACATGTGCATGCGCGTCTGCTACCTAGTGATACACATAGAAAACCTGTTTCATCCATTACAGCTGTTTTACTTCCATTTGTGACCTGTTTACTGACTCCCTCGTACTATGAGGATGCCATTAATGCTTTACAGATATCGAAGAGAGAGAAGCACTCCTCCCTGAGGTGGTGAGGTACATAACATCATTACATATAAGAAACCTATATTGCATTTAGGAAGAAACTTACCTAAGATTTCGTTTGGGGTTGAACGGTCGTTATCATTAGGGTTTTACAGCTGTGATGTTCGTTCGTTCCGTCCGTACTGTGTTCCAGAAGATAAACCCTTTTTCTAAACGCCTCTGTGCTACATTTATTATTATTATCATTATCATCATCATCATCATCATCATCATCATAATGTTTGAGTGAGTGCGAGGGAGAGATAGACCATGGTCATA